TTATCGATACACAATTATAATCCAAACTTTTATCACTCATGGAGATTTTGATATTCACATAAATAATTCTAATTATTACATTTACAAGCAATTAACTTTAATAAACAATATAATAAATATTCATTCGCCGTAAAACACATACRTACATACATATTTACACACATATATATGTATATGTACATATGTATAATTACGTGTATCCTTTTGAGCAAATATCAAATCTGCATTGAAATAAATATTTGCTTACATACATACGTTTGTGTAGATATCTGCATCAGCATATGAAACTATGAATAATTATATTCATACTAATTGTTTATACATTTCTCTCTGAATAAATTTGTTCATGTACATAGGAGATATTGAAATACCAATTTCAATTAAAAATTCGGGATATTGCGAGTATTTCATTAATGTCATGCTTTGCTATAAAAAATGCTGCAAGTTATGCGTCGCTAAGAAATATGTGACTAATGGCAGTTTTGATTTTTGTATTTCTAATGAAATAATCAATGAAATTTTTTACTTTCAATGTCTTTATGTATAGAATTCGATTTCTTTTGCATGGCCACAACGGGCACGCTTGCAAAAGTCCTGATGCTGAACCCAATTTTTGACGGTTTTCAAGCATAAATCGGTCGATACCCTTGCAATTTCAAATTCGATATTCGTACGAAGTTCATGGTTGTTGGCATAGATTATAGACTTGACGTAGCTCCACAGCAAATAGTCTAACGGCGTCAAATCGCACGACCGAGGCGGCTAATTGACTAGGCCATTTCGTGAGTAAACACGTTCACCAAACTTCGTTTTCAATAAATCGATTGTGACATTCGCTGTGCGGCTTGCGGCGCCGTCCTGTTGGAACCACATATTGTCCAAGTCCATATCATCCAAKTTGGGTAAAAAATATTCGGTTATTATTGGGCGGCAGTGATTTCCATTCACAGTAACGGGCCGGTCTGGATCCGTAATTTTTTCGGGCTGCAATGGTGACACACGGAGTACGTGTGCATTGCTGCCTGAACAATTTTACTTATTGGCAAGTCATTCACACAGAAATGAGCCTCGTCGCTGAAGATGTTTTTTCGATGAAAATCCAGATCATTTTCAAGTTGTTGCTYAGCYCAATTCAYGAASATACGACGATTYTGGKRGTCAAGCGGYTTCAGTTCTTKCGTCAWTTTGATCTTGTAAGGTTGTAGACCAAAATMTTTTCGCAAAATTCGCCACAATGACGTCACAGAGCTGCCCAACGCTTGAGAACGACGTGTGAGAGACTGATTTTTGTCTTCCTCAATTGTTGCGCTAGCGGCAKCAATATTCTCGACACTACGGGSWCTTCTTTGTCWCACTGGCACGGGAACATTTTGTATTGTGCCTGTGTTGGTTTGATAGGACGATTATGATATTGTTAAGGCGTTCCGATACTGTTAGCTTCAACCGGTAAGTTTTGCATATTTCGATAGTCTACACCTTTGAAAATAACATACTAAAATTTTTATTTTTTATCTGAAGTAGTTTGTGGGCTGAGGCCTTCTTAAGTGTAGCTGATCAGTTCATTAGTACAGCTGTTCAAAATTGTATGCAGGAAGGCGAATTGGAATTCTCCTGTTAGTTCTTTCTTTGCTACCAGGATTTTGCCAGACTGAGATTGAAATATCTCGGTGGACACACCTTTGGAGAACCTCGCGAAGTGGCTACGATTAACGCTAACCACCTTAAACAATTTGATGTAAGCTCAAATTGCTTCGTCGATCTATATGGATCTGATAACCCACTTTTTATGGGCGACACAAAGGACAAATATCTGTCTAAGTGAGATCCATCGTGTTTTGAAAAAACCCTAAGACCTATTAAAATCTAACCTATTAGGAGATGGGATGGCAATAATTGGCTTAAAGGGAGTCTAGAAGATATTCCTCTTTGATGGCAGGTTCAATCATGGGTAGATAATGTTSTTGAGAAATTTCTAGACTTAATATTATATATCCTTCAACACGTGAGATCCTCTAAAAATCTTTAAAACATCTACCAAGGGTAGTGTGCTACTTGAAAAGAGTTATTCCATGTCAATAGACTATTAGTTGGTGTTCAGACATTTGACTGATTCTTKAAGGCGCCAACACGACTTTCTCTCACAGGAACCCGGGATCGATCAATGTATATCGGGATKGCTGTGCCTAGTGCCTGTGCAGCAAAGATATTTAAAATGCTTAAAATAATTATACATAATCATAGTTATTTTCTGGTTGGCCAGCTCATTGGCCACACCGAGTTTTCGAGCTTTGTGAGCACTSAACTGAAATTATTTGTACAAATAATGTGGAGGTATTAACCGATTAAAATATCTACACCTACTATTTACTTATATTTGTTGCGTTTGTTTCTTGTTGCTTCAAATATTGAAATCTACTAAATATGTTTACAAATATTGATATGCAATAGTGTTMGCTTGGTTTTAAAGTAATTTTGTCTTTCCATTAAAAGCTTACGCAGGCTTAACTCACGAATCGGTCGTTGTAACGGGTGATCCCAGCAGAGGAGCTTTTTCTATATAGCAGCCGTTCGCAGCAACTTAGACTGACGTATGGAACGACTTGGCGCATTATACGTCGAGATCTTAAATTGATAGCGTACACAATATACATTGTGCAAAAACTGAAGCTGCTCGACCTTCCTTTCGACATCAGTACTTCGCTATGGGTTCTTGAAAAGTTCAAAGAAAATCCGACGTTTTCGAGCCAAATGTTGTTCAGCGAAGATGCCCGTGCCTGGCTCAATAGTTATCTAAACAAGATAAATTGCCGAAACAAGAAAACAACGGTTCGGTGTGGTTTGTGGGCCGGTGGAATTATCGTTCCATATTTCTTCAAAAATAATGTCATGATAATCGACTATTTGATGCCTGAAATTTAAGTTCGTGTTCTCGGGCGACATTGGGTTTCAACAAGACGGCGCCATTTGCCACACAAACATCAGTCAATGAATTTATTGAGAGAATACTTCGGTGAGCAGAGAATTTCACGTTTTGGGCCTATCGATTGGTCACTAAGATCGTGTGATATCACACGGTAAGACTTTTTTCTGTGGGAATATGTAAAGTCTAAAGTCTATGCGGACAATACCTGTTCGAATCAGACCTTGGAGCGAAATATAACGCGTTTCATACGCCAGTTACCAGTCGAAATGCTCGAAACGCTTAAATATTGGACTCAAAGGATGGACACTGTGAGACGTAGCCGCGAGTTACATTTGAAAGAGATACTCTTCAAAAAATAAATGCCAAAAATGTTCTTAAGAATTTCTGTGATTTTTCTTTGAAAAAGTAGGAAACCTYGAAWTGGATCACCTTTTATTTGGTTATTTTGAGAGAACGAAATTTGCATATTTTTGAATATTTCTGTAACTAAATTACACCGTAATGATTTGCCCACACATTGCACGCAATTTACACGCTCATTATCTACTAACTCGACGCTCATGGCTCATAAATTTCCYATGCGCTCTTTAGTACACCCGTTTACCGTGCGAAGGGTGGCCACACAAGTACAAATATAATTATGCCGACCGTAATGTTTCTAAATGAAATTGAACAGAATTAAAAGCGCTTGTCACAAGCGAAAAGTAAACTAAAATTTATTACCTTCGTTTAATGTGGCTTTCTAAAAAGACTATGTGGACTGCCGCTTTTGGGGTATGTGATTTACACAAGTTGTATGGAGAGAGTTTATGCCCAAGAGAGTCTAAGTTTGCACAGCTGAATGAGTTGTCACTTTAAACTGAGGGAGAGTGAAGTTAGCATTTGGATGGTCGCAACATGAAGATGATAAATTCGTGTTACAGAACTAGCCAATTGCACTTAATGAACAAAATTTTGCGTATTCGTCTCGATGTTATTCGATGAATAGTAGATTTTACGAATTATAAATTYGCCAGTGAACAGGAATGACAAAGAAAATATTCCCTAAACTTGCTTTWCTCTCCCATCGAAATTTTTCCGCGTTTCGTCTTTGCAGATATTAGCTCTATCTTTTAACTAAATTAAAGCTGGTTTAAAGAGTGAAGAACTCTAGCAAATTTTTGGAGCCAGTTGTAGCCAGTTGTAGCATTCCACTAAGATCAAAATATTATAATCAATGCAAGAAACCTTGACAAGTACTTAGTGTTTGTCCGGAGAGTAATACGACTGAAGCGATTTAAAA